TCCCACTCCCAACCCGGGCCTAGGGTTTGAGGCCAGATGGAACTTGAGAGCAAAGTAGAGAAATGGGATGGGCAGGAGAGTTTTCACCTCAGGGCAAGCTGAATGTGACCTAGGGGCACATGTCCCCCAGGTCCATCGCAGGAGGGGATTCAGAACTGTGAGTACTCATTCTCTGAAGAATTCATTATTGCATGAGTGGTCCACGCCTCAAATGTTTCTCTGATCCTTCTCTAAGTATAAAAGTCTGGGGAGACTATTTTTCAAAATGGTATGACTCCCTGCTCTTGGCCTTGGACACAGACATTTCAATTTAATCTTCAATATCTTCTGGTGTTGTCAGTGAAATGCACACCTCATCTTTATAACTGCAAATCCCTTTCCTGATGATGCTCTGGGGAGAGGTGTGACAGCCCCTTAGAAGTTAATCTGGTGCTTCACAAACCTTATTTTCTGCCACTTAATGTGGCAGTTCAAAAATTAAACTGGAGAGTCCCCCATAATTAGGGGATCCATGACCTGGTTTGCCTGGAAGAGTCAGGTGTCATGCTATTGCTCAGCATAACTGCTAATAGAGCTAATAGAGATTCACTCCCAGGAGAATCTGGTTTGAGCATAACCCATCATCAAGGTGTGAGTCAAAGCAGAATAAAGGTCAGGCTGTCTGCAAAGCTTGCTCTGTTTGGGTCATTTGTACAAAGTTAAGATAGAAATAATGCTCTTCCCAAATCAGAGGACTCTAGATGCTGGCGAGGATGTGGAGAAATGGGCACCCTCCTACACTGTTGGTGGGAATGTAAACTGGTGCAGCCCCTCTGGAAAACAGTGTGGAGGTTCCTCAAATAATTAACAGTGGAACTCCCCTATGACCCAACAATTAGCACTACTAGGAATTTACCCAAGAGATATAGGAGTGCTGATGCATAGGAGCACATGTTCCCCAATGTTCATAGCAGGACTCTCAACAATAGTCAAAACATGGAAAGAGCCTAAGTGTCCATCAACGGACGAATGGATCAAGAAGATGTCGTTTGTCTATACGATGGAATACTACATGGCAATGAGAAAGAATGAAATCTGGCCATGTGTAGCAACATGGATGGACCTTGAGGGTGTTATGCTGAGCGAAATAAGTCAGGCAGAGAAGGACAAATATCATATGTTTGCATGTCTAGGAGGATTAGGAGGAACTTGACGGAGGAACAAGGGGGAGAAGAAGGGCGGAAGTGGTGGGGGAAAAGGAGAGAGGCAAACCATGAGAGACTCTTGAATGCTGACGAAAACTGAGAACTGATGGATGTTGGGGGGGAGTGGAGATGGGCATGGAGGAGGGCACTTTGGGGATGAACACTGAGTGTTATGTGGAAAATAATTTGACAATAAACTATTTGTAAAAATAAATAAATAAATAAATAAAGTAAGCAAACAATTAAGGGCGCTTGGGTGGCTTAGTCGGTTAAGCGTCCGACTTTCGCTTGGGTCATGATCTCACAGATCGTGGGTTCGAGCCCTGCGTCGGGCTCTGTGCTGACTGCCAGTTCAGAGCCTGGAGCCTGTTTCAGTCTATGACTCCCTCTCTCTCTGACACTCCCCTGCTCACGCGGTCTCTCTCTCTCTCTCCTAAAAATAAATAAAACATTAAAAAAAAAGAAATACAAACAATTATCAGGGAATACTATGAAAAATTATTTGCCAACCAACNTTGTGGGTATGAGCACTGGGTGTTATATGGAAACCAACTTGACAATAAACTATTTGTAAAAAAAACAAAAAAATAAAAAATATATAAATATTAAAAAAAAGAAAAAAGGAGAAAGAAATAATGCTCTCCACATGTGTCTTAGGGTTGTTTTCAATATAGGTTAGACATGAAAACACTGTCAGTAGAAACCACTACATCTGACAACAAAAGCTGTAATAATAATTAATGGGGGAGGGTGTTAGTGGCTTCCACCACCCCCTTCACCTTTTACCCTCTGAAGGGAGCTAACCAGTGGAACATCAGGCAACAACATGGGGCCAAGTGGGAGCAGGTAGACCTCCTCTTTAGTCTCATAACACAGAGAGGAGTTGAAAATAAATATCCTGGACAGCTGACACTCACTGAGTGCTGATGACAGCCAAGGACTCCCCCAGTTACTGTAGGTATGCCAAGGTAATGGATCCTCATGGCGCCTTACTAAATAATTACCACCATTAAACCCACTTTCCAGATGTGGAAACTGAGGCAGAAAGAGAGGGAAGATCTTGCCCAAGGCTGCATATCTGGGAGGAGGTGAAGCTGGATTTGAACCAGGCAGCTTAGTTTCAAGGTTGAGACGCCACAATGCTGAGCCTACCTGCGCTGTGTGTACCTGGAATGTACCGGTGTGCCCTCTCTGCTTGCCTCTGCAACAGTCCTGTAACAAACATGCAGCTCTTGCTTGTGCTGTTCCAAATGCTCCAAAGGCTCCTTGTATAAATCCCACAAACCTGGACCCCCCAGGCCATCCTCCGCCTGTGGTCAGGGAGCCACGCAGATCCCAACTCTGGCCTTGAGACCTGACACATTCCCTGCCTCTCCACAGTTTCAGATGAAGGCCCTAGACCTCAGCCAGGCACCCACGGCACCCACACATCACCCACTACATTCTGCTCCCCTGCCAGGCACCCAGTGCTGCTGCCACATCTGCTTTGCCAGCTTCTCTCTCTGAAGTCCACCTTCATCCTCATTATCATGCTCTTTGTCACCTTCTCTGCCACCGCCCTTCCCTTATGATCCCAGACACTTTCCAATGTGTTTCCAGTGTAGGGCGGTGGTGAAAAGATAAGCCTTCTGAGGCCCTGCACACAGTAGGCCATCAGCCCATACTAAGACAACATATGCAATCATGCTTGGCAGTGGATTCATACCCTTCACTAGCGTTTGTTGAATGAATGAATGAATGAATGAATGAATGTTCAGTCTCTCTGATTTCCAGACTCCAGAAATGCTGGGTTTGGGTATCCTCAATGCTAAATGCATCACACTCATAATGTGGACTGTTTTCTAAAACCACAGAAAATAGCAATACATATTTACTTTATTAAATGCTAGCTTAATTTGCTGTGAGCCACATGTCTGCATGAGGGAAGAGAAGGCAGAGTCAGGAAAGGTTAGGAGAAAAACTCTCTAAAGTAGAGGTGGGAAAGATCCCAAAGGCTCACATGTTAGGCAAGACAACAGGAAATACATTTTCAGAGTTGGGAGGGGGCTGGGCATTAAGTGGATAGAGAGAATGGCTGTGGAGGGGGGGTGTCCAGGCATGCAGAACAGCTCTGAGACACCTTCCCTATTAGGCCTCGAGGGGAGTCATTTAAAGATTTCTCCCAGAGTCCAGGACTAAAAAGAAAAGCCCCTAGACTTCTCCCCCACCCAAATCTGGGGTTTCCCTCATCCCCCGCAAACACCTACACCATCTAGAATAACAAAGGCACCATTTCTTTCCCCATAAGAATCTCTCTCTTAGAGACAATGAGGAAAATGAGAGCAGAGGAAAAGATAGACCAATTTAAGGAGTGTCCATAAAGGGGAGGAGGGTTGCTAAGGCAAATCTTTTATTTTTATTATTTTTTAAGACAAAGTTTTTAAAGGAACCATTTGGGCGGCAGAAACTAGGGACAGAGATTAGACTCGGCCACTATGTTACACAGGGGCTGATCACCTGTCCCTCCCTCCACCCCAAATCCTGGATGAATAGCAGTCAGAAGCCTCCAGGCCCTCTGAAAGTCACCTCCAGCTGGCCTTAATCATCCTGACACCTTCCCTTCTGCTGCTGCCGCCATCCAGCATAGGAGATGGGACTCCACCTCTGGTGTCCAGGTAGCCACTTGCAGATGCATCAAAGACTTTTCAGAGTGTGCCAAAGGGAGGCCCAAGGAGGCCACTGCCCTGCAGAGGTGGGGTTCCAAAGGGCCAGCATTTCCCTGCTAATAATCTTCCAAGACAAATCCCCACTTCACTAATTCTGCTGTGCCCTGTGCCTGACTAGTAGGGCCAGGGTTGTGGGGCTGCCTGCTGGGTCCCCAGGTCTGGACTGTCTAGCCCAGACCAGAGTCATGCAGCCCAGGGGTGTCAACTCGCACTCTCTGGAGTTTGGGGGTGGGTGGGAGGAGGGAATCCAGCTTGGATCACCCTTCCCCAGGCGCATTTCAGAGACCTCAGTGGAGGCGCCTCAGAAGGTAGCCAGCCTGACATAGGTTTTCGCAGCGTCTGGCTCTGAGGCTAAGCTGCTTATGTCGGTGCTGCCCCGCTCAATGAGCACGGAGGCAGAGGCTGGCCTTCTTTTGTGGCATCTCTTCCTCTATGTGTGCATCTCCGTTCCTGGCGCCCACCTCACCTCCACCCCACGGAAATCTCACTGAAAAGGTCCAGGGATTTGCGATTGCGCGGAGTGCAGGGAGGGGGCGACTGGGACCCGGGCAGCCCGGGAACTCACAGCGACGCCTTTGGGAGCTTCAGGTTCTGATTCTATGAAACGAGTTTAACGATGGTATAGAATGTGCAGGTCTTTGAGAGGACCACAGGGCCAGGGGGACAATGTCAAGCGCCCGGCTAAGAAGTCTGCGCGCTCAGCTAAGTCGCTGCCACCCTGAAGGCCGCGTCACCCAAACGGAGGACTCGGGGACCCCCAGCCCCGCAGCTGCAGAGGGCAGAGCAGGGGAGTGGGCGGCCAAAGACCAGACCGGACAGCATCTGAGGTGAGCAGCGGAGGAGGCGGGAGGCCCCGCGGGGGCTCGGAAGGACCTGGGGCTGGGCTGGATCGCCGGCGGGGCGCGGAGGTAGACCGGAGGGGCGGGGCGCGTGGGCGCAGGCCCCGGGACTGGGGCGCTGAGGGCGCACCGCGCTGGATTGGCGGGCGCCCCCAGCCGGGCCAGTCGCCAGCTCTTCAGGCGGAGCAGGCAGAGGTGCGCTCGTCTGCACCGGAGACCCAGGACAAGTCCGCTCCGACGCGCTCCCGCCGCCCCAGGTGGGCACCTTGGGCATGAGCGCCCCCCCGACGCTGCCCCCAGGGGGCGAGGAAGAGCTCGAGATGGCCTGGTCCCCTGCAGTCAACGCCAGTTGCGCCCCTGCCGAGGAGGCGGCGGCAGTGGGGACCAGGGACACCGGGGCAGCGGGCATGGTCGCCATCCAATGCATCTATGCACTGGTGTGCCTGGTGGGCCTGGTGGGCAACGCCCTGGTCATCTTCGTGATCCTCCGCTATGCCAAGATGAAGACGGCCACCAACATCTACCTGCTTAACCTGGCCATCGCAGATGAGCTCTTCATGCTGAGCGTGCCCTTCGTGGCCTCGTCGGCCGCCCTGCGCCACTGGCCCTTCGGGTCTGTGCTTTGCCGCGCGGTGCTCAGTGTGGACGGCCTCAACATGTTCACCAGTGTCTTCTGTCTGACGGTGCTCAGCGTGGACCGCTATGTCGCCGTGGTGCACCCTCTGCGCGCCGCCACCTACCGGAGGCCCAGCGTGGCCAAGCTCATCAACTTGGGCGTGTGGCTGGCGTCCTTGCTGGTCACCCTGCCCATCGCCATCTTTGCTGACACCAGGCCGGCTCGGGGCGGCCAGGCCATAGCCTGCAACCTGCACTGGCCGCACCCGGCCTGGTCGGCGGTCTTTGTAATCTATACTTTCCTGCTGGGCTTCCTGCTGCCCGTTCTGGCCATCGGCCTGTGCTACCTGCTCATCGTGGGCAAGATGCGGGCGGTGGCACTGCGGGCTGGCTGGCAGCAGCGGAGGCGCTCGGAAAAGAAGATCACGCGACTGGTGCTGATGGTGGTAGCCGTCTTTGTGCTCTGCTGGATGCCTTTCTACGTGGTGCAGCTGTTGAACCTGTTTGTGACCAGCCTTGATGCCACAGTCAACCATGTGTCCCTCATCCTCAGCTATGCCAACAGTTGTGCCAACCCTATCCTCTATGGCTTCCTCTCCGACAACTTCCGCCGTTCCTTTCAGCGGGTTCTCTGCCTACGCTGCTGCCTCCTGGATGTCGCTGGTGGTGCTGAGGAAGAGCCCCTGGACTACTATGCCACTGCTGTCAAGAGCAGAGGTGGGGCAGGATGGATATGTCCACCACTCCCCTGCCAGCAGGAGCCCATTCGACCAGAACCCAGCCACAAGCAGGTCCCTCTCACCAGGACCACCACCTTCTAAAGGGCCCTTTCACCTCTTCCCTAGCCTGGTCACCTGTAAGGGAGTCTGCACCACCCTGACACCCCAGCAGACTGCCTGTCCTAGATACTCGCCGAAGAGCCACCACCTACCTGTTCCCACCACAGCCACAGTCACAGCCACCTTTTCCCAGCAGCCTATGTGCCAGCCCCAACAGCATCAAAGTTCCTTTTCTTTGTCTTGTCCCCAAGACTCTGGTTTCTGGGAGGACGCCTCCATAGGGGTAGGACTCCTCTGACCACTAGTCCTGATATTAATCATCCCTGGATCTCTGACTAGTTTCCGAGGGATGGGAAGCCAGGGAATGCCAGACAGGAATGGCAGTCTGCATGTGACGCAGTACAGAATCTCTGCCTTGGAGAGGACTGTCCAGAGGGTGGAGGTAGCCTGTGCCATTGCTCTCTGCAGATTCTGCCTGTGGTGGGGACACACATGTTCAAAAAGAGAAGGGAGGAAGGAAGATGCCTCCAAGCTCACTGTTGACTTTCATTCCTGGGCTCTTTTCTAACTAAAATTGATGCATGACAACCTGGGGAACCAGCTTTGTTACCCTCCAGGCCCAGTGCCTACTTGCAGTCAGAAATGTCACTCCAGTTTTCTGGGACTAGCAGCAGGCTTCCTGTGAGTAGGAAAGGTTTGGAAAGTCATGAGGCGCAAAACCAGGTAAGTAATAAAAGCAGAAAGGATGAATCTCATCTAGCTCCTATGTTGTGATTTTTTGCCTCAACCCTTTGTCATAAGAGCATGAGACCTCATTAACTTGGCCAGTTTACACCACGGTGGTGAGTGGGAAGGAACTGGAGGTGGGGGGAGAGATCAGAGAATACAGATGGAAATCAGCTCAGATTTTGGATAAAGGAGGCAGCTCTGTCACCCACTGTTGAAGAAAAAAAATTGTAATTCAGTAAAACACCAGCCAGATGTACATAATAAACATATCTAGGCTGAACACGGTAAACAGCTGTAACTTCTTGCCTGATGTTAACCCAAGGATAAATTAGCTTTTCCCAAAGGAAAAAGTCAGCTTATGAGGAGCTTTAATCCTGTTTTCTGTGAAGAAATGCTTTCAATGCTTCTTTAGGGGCCTGGAGTGGAAACATGCTATTAAACATGTATGAACAGCTGTGTGGGAGACTCCACCTGGCTGAGCAAAGCAAAAGGCCCTTCTGGGTTTGGCCAGCCCTGTTGGGTGCAGAGAGGAAGATACTTGGGGAAGGAGGTGAGGACAGCTGTAGAAAGAGTCCCTCTGCTCTTCAGAGGGGTCAGCCTCCCAGAGCTCACAGCTTCCTGGCCAGAGGGCTTCAAGAGAAAACAGGCAGGACCTGCCAGCCTAACTGACCTTGCCTGACTTGAGCCTTTTGGGGCAGCCAGCAGGCATCCAAAGGTGGGCACAAGGGGCTTCTAGGAGGCTAGAGAAGATTGAGGCTGGGCCAGGAGGGCAGAGCAAGGCCTAGGGAGATGCTCTGCTTCTACCATGGGTAGGGGCTCCTCTCTGAGGAGGTAACAGAACAGGGCTCTTCCCTGAACTGTTTGGGCCAAAACCAGAGCTTTACTTGATATTAGCAGGTGCCTGATATACGAGAACCAGGCAAGAGAGCTGACTTCTGGTCCTAGATATAAATATTGTATGATCCAGGCAAGTGACTGAACCCTAGGGTCCCTCAGAATTCTGCCTGTAACATCAAGAGGTCTTCCAGTACTGCCACACTGTGACAGAGAACTAACTGTATGCTCTTTTCCATGTGGCTATTGATTCCAGCTACTTCCCTACTGAATGAAAAGCAAAAATGGCCTTATCTTCACTGTGTGTGGGCATATATATATAACCATCAGCTCCGTATTCCTCTACATGACCAGCAGCAGTATGATCTGTAGGCGGCAATCAGTGTTGATCCAAGTGTGTCTCCTAAGGCCGGGTGGGCGAGGTAGAGATGAAGGTCATTAGGGTCAGCACACTGGGGTGGTCTACATCTGCCTGACAGAGAAAATGTGTAGCCAATCTGTATTACATTCTGTAGACATGGCTGTGGGTTGGGAGCTCCTAACTAAGGTGCAAGAACCCCTTGAACTCACAAACATGCATGCATACATGTACACACACATGCATGTAAACACACAGACATTGACTGTCCTGAACCTGTTGTACCCACTAGAATTGCCTTGGGCATCTGGAGTAAGCCAGTGATGGTGTCAGCTGGCCTTGTGTAACTATAATTTCTTGGCAGTATTTAAAACTTAACTATTTCTTTATTCCCCAGTGCTTGGCAGAGTGCAGCAGCATGGCCACTCAGTAAATGTGGTGGACCTGAGCTACAGGGGTCACTGGCAATGATCTGACATGAACATGGGCTGCTGGGCCTTTGCCCCCTGTTAGGTGGGGGCTGCAGTCCTTGTCTTTAGTGTCCAACAGTGATTCACACCAGGTCAATTCTCTGATGAGCAATACAGAACATGGACCAGGAGTCCTGGCAACCCTGGGCTGGGCTGAGAATTTGAAAATGCAACCCTTTTTTTTTTTTTTATTTCTAGGAGAGAGAGAGACAGCGTGAGCAGGGGAGGGTCAGAGAGAGAGGGAGTCACAGACTGAAATAGGCTCCAGGCTCTGAGCTGCCAGTCAGCACAGTGCCCGACGCGGGGCTCGAACCCACGAACCGCGAGATCATGACCCAAGCGAAAGTCGGACGCTTAAGCGACTAAGCCACCAGGCGCCCTGAAAATGCAACCTTTTTAACTTAGTTGGTGATGGTTGAAGCAGAGACAGCCTTAGGTGATGAAAGGAAAAGTCCCTGAGAGGCAGGGGTCCTCCAACAACCAGACCATCAAGCAGTGAGTGCTGTAATTTCTCTGAGCCTTAGTTTCTCACACGAAATATGCACAAAAGCAGGGTGTGGGTTTTGAGTTCTTCTAAGCTGTAAACCGCCTTCTCAAAAACACTGGAAGAGGCATGCTAACTCAGGCAGTGGGAGGGTGAAAGACAGCATTCTTCTATGCTTAGTACTTTCTCTATCCCTTGTTAAAAATGAGCATTAATGCTGCCCCTGACCCGGGAGTCATAAATTGTGCAGTGGAGGGGCCGGGTTGGGGGTGGAGAGTGTGTTGCTGACCAGTGTCTTCCTCAGCTGTAGAGCTTTCTTGGGGATTAACAACTCAGCACCTGCAAAGTATCCCAAGCATTTGTTGGGGGACACATTTAGAGTCCATCAACAGTGGTAGTTAGGATCAACACTGAGGCCTTTGTTAACAGCTGATTGCATGAACGCCATAGGTTTCTGAGCAGCAAGTTTGCAGAATTTGTGAATTAAAGTCAGAAATGAAGGCATCTGGGGTCCTGAGAGCCTTTACCCATTTCACCTGCCTCAGGGGTCAGCCCTGCAGAGAGGCAAGCAGGCTCTGACCTGAGCCCTGCTTCTGCTGACCATAACAGCTTTTGGCTTCAAAGTGAATGAAAACATTTTTTACCTAGGTAGAAACAGCCTTCAGGCATTCCCTCCATCAGTGAACTTGCTTTGCATTTTTTTTTTACAAATAGTTTATTGTTGCTTTGCATTTTAAAGTTGTCTTTAACTTACTGCTCAGTGACAAGTCAGGTGTTTATTTTTTCCAGATAGTTGTAAGATGGTATTTGAATATGACAGGTGATCACTCATTGGAATTCTTGCCCAATCTGTCAGCACTATGTTACTGAACAAAGATGCATACTATTTTCATTTTCCTCTTTAAATTCTTGGCTTCACTTTCATCAAAAACAGCATACCTAACAATCCTTAGGTGCCAAAGGCTGATAGCAAGGGAAAAACAAAAACAAAAACAAAAACAAAAACAAATATATGTTTCTGCTGTGCTATTCAGAAACCAGATATGGAAGCCTGTGCAGTGGCCGGGCAAATTTCTGTAAATTTGGGCTTCAAAGCTCTTCTATGACAGGCTGTAGGTCATGAAACATCCCTGTCTCTCACCACCCCTTCCCTGAAGCAGGTGGCAGAAAAGCCTCAGATTCCTTAAGCACAAGTGTAAGAGTGGTAAGGCACTGTCCTCAAAGCTCTGCTCTGTGGAGGTGTGTGCTGGGGGTGTTCATCAGACAGCACACTGAGTGTTACTTCTGGCAGCTTTGAGGTAAGATGGGGAGCCTCCAGAGACAGCACCCCTGTCCTCACGAAGCTTGGAGCTCAGAGGCAAAAGATGAGTCTTCATCGGAGAACCACAGAAATGAGAGTACAATTTTAAGCTGAAAAAGGAACACCCAGAAATGGACTCTGGTTTCTATGAGATGATGTACTAAGAGAACCTGACATCATCATAGGGCAGGTTTCCCCAGGAAGCCTGGAGATGACCTCCTCGTAAGGATGAGTGGGGATCAGCCAGGAGAAGAAGGGGTAGAGTGGAAAGTGCAAAGGGCTCAATGCAGAGGGGATAGCATGTGCAAAGGACCTGTGATGGTAAGCACTGAAGATGCCCAAGATGACTGGAACAGAGGACAGATGATGCCCAGTCAGCAACATGCATTAGGAGACAGAACATCAGTGTGTCGTAGGTCCCTTTAAGGATTTAGGACCATGCCATGACACAGCAATGACAGGCTATAATGAGAGGGTCAGGTCTACCTGGCAAAGAAACCCATCAAGGGGTCTTGAGTCCTTGTCAAGTCGGGGCACTCGTGCCCTCCATTTTTCAGTGGGAGGTTGACAGATGGAACATGTTCTTTCCATTTCAACAGTCATCAATTATTTTCAACAGGATGGCACAATTCCCAATCATATGAATGGATTGGTCTAATATCTAACCAGGAGAGACACTTTTGAAAGTGGAGGAGGACTAATATTTAAAAAATCCAAGATCATTGACTGAATCACTCAAGATGGAAGTACTGACTTGGTCAAAATAAAACCTGTGGCTTTCTATTAATGAAAGACACTGTGGGCACCCACTGATGTCACATGGGGTCTAGATGGGGCTGCCTGAGCTCAGTGCTGGCACAGTGCAGATATGTAACGGCCTAGGGAGAACAGGCTTGGGGACACACAGACCAGGGACAGAGAAGCCACTTACCAACCCAGTGAGACTGCAGGTAAAGCTCCGTGGCCCCTGGAGAAAGGCCAGAACTATAGTATCTACCCCTGAGTGTGCAGGGGACTGGCCCAGAGGAAGGCTCAGCATTCAGACAGTGACCAAATGGCAGAGAAGGAAAACAGCAAGGTCGATGCAGATAATTAGAATGTTTTTGGTATTTTTAATAACTTAAAAATTTATTTTATTATTATTTTAATTATTATTTGTTTGAGTGAAAGAGAGAGAGAGAGAGAGAAAGTGAGAGAGTGTGAGTGGGGCAGAGGGGCAGAGGGAGAGAGAGAATCTCAAGCAGACTTCCTGCTCAGCACGGAGCCCAACTCAGGGCTCAATCCTACAACCCTGGGATGGTGACCTGAGGTAAAATCAAGAGTCAGAGGATCAACTGACTGAGCTAGCCAGGTGCCCCGTTACTTTTTAAAATCAGGGTTTCTTTAGCCATTCTGAGGAGGCTGTGATTTCTTTTCAATCTACTTTTATTGAAGTATAATTTACATAAGGCAAAATTCAGTCCTTCTAGGTGCTCAGTGCTATGAATTTTGACAAACTAACACTGTTGCATTGTTTAACTGCCATGCCACCCCAAGTCAAGATGGGGA